ACTGATATGAAGAAACATCATCTTTGGTAATTGTATGTTGGTTTATTCAGTACTATATCATAACTAGGGTTAAAATGGTAATTTGCTGTCATTCAGAGAACAATTACCAAACAACCTTGTTTCATTCAACACTTAACCATTCTGATCCTCTTAGCCATTCTAACCTCTTAACTATTCTGAACTAAATCATTCAGCAACTGCCAAACGGCAAGCCCCTAAGTCTTAAAGACTTATCTTCAAAGTCTAGATAGGTTTATTACAAGACTTGTACTCTTGAAACTACTCTGAAGTAAAACTCTTCAGACTTCAGAGCTCTGTATAGGCAAGCCAGAGGTTCTGCTTGGTGCTCCGTCTGGAAAAAAGACTATAGAGTTCGGGTGAGCTAACTCTGAAGAATGACTCTTCAGACTTATACTCTTCAGAATTGTAGAAGACTTCAGTGTTCAGACTTCTAAGTCTGAAAAAGAAGACTTCAGACTTCTTTTTCTAAGTCTAAAAAAATTGAATTCAGAGTTCAGGCTCCAAAGTTTGGGTGAGCTATGTCTGAAAAAGCAAACTTCAGAGTTCGTGTAACTCTGAAGAATGACTTCAGACTTGTTCTCTTGAAATAACTCTGAAGTAAACACTTTTTCAATAAATTGAATTTAGAATAAAATTAAGTTAACCCTAGAATAAAATTGAATTTAGAAATGAAACTATATCAGTAAATTGAATTTAAACTTAGAAATAAACACCATTTTTTTGGGAATCGGTTACCACACGAATTAATTAACCCAAGAATAAAATCAATTGCATCCTAAATTAGTGGGATTGATTGAATAAGAGGACACATGTCAATGAAATGAGTATAATTGAACCGTTAATGTAAATTGTGTCTAAATACATTCAAATGATTACAAGTTTACAACTGAACCACTAATGTAAATTGTGTCTAAATACATTTTTAGGCTGGAAAACAAGATAACTGCCTCACAAGAAGGTGACACGTGTCACCTAAGTTACTTATTTATTAGAAGTATATATATATGTATATGTGTATATATATATAAAGAAGAACCATGAGTGTTTGAGGTGGCATCATGAGAATTGGGTATTGAGGTGTTGATGAATTGTGGTTGAGTTTGAGATATCCCACATTTGGTGAAGAGTAGAAAGATTTGAAGAAAATGAAGTGTATAAGAAAGGTGGATTCCTTTGTGGCAAATAATGGGGTTTGCCTCATACGGTTGTCTTTCTTTGGATGACCTTCCTTTGGAATCTATAACTATGGCTGGAAACCAAACAAACCAATATTATACTATTCTCTCTCTCTCTCTCTCTCTCTCTATATATATATATATATATATATATATATATATAGATAAGTAAAACCTTGGGGTGATGAGGTGGCACCATGAGAATTATAAAAGTAAAACCTTGGGGTGATGAGGTGGCACAATGAGAATTGAGTATTCTCAAATGGTGAATTGTGGTTGAGTTTTAGTTGTCCCACATTGGTGAAGAGTTGAAAGATTTGAACAAAGTGAAGTGTATAAAAAGATGGATTGGTGCCTTTGTGTCGATTCATGGGGTTTGTCTCATAGGGTTGGCTTTTTTTGGATGACCCTCTTTGAAATCTATAACCATGATTGGGATGAAAACCAACCAAATGGAAAAAAACTTTATCTTTATATATATAAAAGAGAACCTTGGGGGTGGCACAATGAGAATTGAGTATTCTTATATGGTGAATTGTGGTTGAGTTTTAGTTGTCCCACATTGATGAAGAGTTGAAAGATTTGAAAAGATGAAGTGTATAAGAAAGGTGGATTGGATGTCTTTGTGTCAAATCATGGAGTTCGTCTCATAAGGTTGTCTTATTTTGGATGACCTTCTTTGAAATCTATACCATGGTTGGAATCAAAACCAACTAAATGGTAAAACTTGTAGTGCAAATATAAAAGCGAAACCAAGGATGATGAATTGGCAACATGAGGTTTGAGTGTTTCTCAAATCTGAAATAAGGTTGACTTTCATCATCTCACATTGGTAGACAGATGATAGTTTGGAAGAAGATGATGGATGTATAAATGCGAGATRGAGCTTTGAAATCTATAGCCATGGTTGAAATTAAAACCAACCAATTGGTAAAAGATTTGTACAAAACGAATGCAAATGATACATTTTTTTCTTAACAAAAGTTGTGATTATTGCAGTACTTATAAGAACAAATGTAGTTTAAGTATCTATTATATCACTTATATATAGAATGAAAGTGTTGACTTAATGACGTGCTTTCATCTGATGTAAGTATTCTCCAAATCGTGATTTACGGTGTTGGACGGGGTGTTATAAATATAAACACGAACCCGAGTTTTCATACACATCGCACTTTCGCTTGAGTCGAGGATTTTACATTTTTTCTTAAATTGAGTTTTGATCACCGAGCAAACCAAGAGGTATAGATGTGAAATCATGAGAATTGAGTACTGAGGTGTTGGGTAATCGTGGTTGAGTTTGTGATATCCCATATTGGTGAGAGATTGAAAGATTGGAATAAGGATGAGATTAATTGTGTCAACTCATGACGCTTGATAATAAGGTTATCTTACTTGGATGACTCTATTTTTATATCATTTCTTTTATATCAATTGACTTTAAAATAACAATGAAAGGTAATGATATGACTTAGTATATATTTTATATTATAAAGTTGAATTAAGAACTTTAAAATAATATAACGAACAATTTTGTTGATTGTTTTAGTTTGTTATAATTAAAATTGAATCTATGATAACATTTTTATATTAACTAAACTTGATTATATGATTATAAGTAAAATAAAATAAAATAAACCTATATGTAAAGAAGTTACATGTTAAGGTATTAAGGCAAATTCATGAGAATGTGATATATTCGAAGAAGGCGGAGGTATGTATGTGAAAGAAGGAAAAAATGAATTTGAAATCAATCATCAATCATCAACCAATGACAATATCAATATAATATATTAAAAAAGGAACCAAACAAATAATACAAAATATATAACCATGGTTGAAATCAAAACCAACCAAATAATACAAAATAAGGAAGTGAATATTTAAAAATGAGTTAGATATCTTATAATACTAAGAGAGTTTGTGAAAAATTTTAGGTTGTCCTTTTTTTGGCCAACCATCTTTTATAAAAAAATTATATATCAAAAACTAATATAAAAATAGCATAAAGTTGACGATAAATCAAAACCATAAAATTGGTCGAAGTTTTAGCTGTAAAAACAATAGTTATATATCTATAATGTATATTTTTATATCTTCATTTTTATCTATATAAAAGCAATAACCATGGATAATCAGGTGACAACTTCTAAGCATTATAAATCATTTTTTTCCTCACATTGGATCAAAGAAGAAAGAGACATGTGAGAGGTGGATACAAAAAGAAAAGGGCCAACGTTTTTCTCAATATTGTTTGCATAATTGCATCCCGCATAGCATGATGGAGTGAAAGTGGCAAGAGGGAGATTACTACAAAACGAAATGACTAAAAATGGAACAAACATATTTTTCTCGGATGTCGATCTTTTGCTTAAGATCAAATGTAGTATATGTTTTTAGTTTAACACATCTATCCCGAATCATAGGTTTTTTTTTGTTTAGATAAAGTATATTATATGTTCTTAGTTTGATATCTAATATATGGGTTTTCAACTTGCTTGGTATTTTATTTTTTATATGAGAATGCCCGTTATACTACTTGGTGATGTAGTTATTTATTTGTCATCTTGGTGTTACTACTATCAACGTTTGATACACTCCTCTAATTACAATTTAAATATTATAGAATGTTACAATAAAATGTAGTATTTGTTTTTACCAGTTTATATCTCATATGTGGGTCATCGACTCCACTTGACATTAATTTTATTTTTTTATGAGGAAAAGTTCATTATCTTAGCTTGGTGATGTGGTTTTTCATGCATCGCCTTGAACTTCCACTACTGTTGCTATAACTTACGCACTCGTCTAATTTTCACTTGAAATATTATACAACGTTTCTTTTTCATAACTTCAAATGAGATTTCAATTAAATTTGTTACAAAATTAACATCATGATTTTGTCACCTTATATGAGATTTCAGTTAGAACTGTGACTTCTAATTAAACAAACTACTGACATTGGTCAAACATTTGTAGAGTACTTTGTAACACCGTTCTCGAGCATAGTTAGATAACTTAAATTAGCATATGATTCTAAGATTATTGTCAACTTCTCTAAAAACTTTTATTGTTAATGAGTAGTTGCCACACAAATTTGCCTAATCTTTTTTAGAAGTGGACTTCAAATTTTAGTCTATAACATTCCTTTTGAAGATGGTATTATCACTACCACGCAACGCGCGGTTGGAACACTAGTTAATATAATATAAAAGATAACTAATTGATATTAAATACTAAGCCTTTCAAAGTCCCACAAATCACCCCACACCCCCTTGATATCGGCACTTGTAGATTCTATCAAAACGCCCAGGTGTATCAGTCTCATGGAATAAGAAGACTCTTTGAAACTGCGTTTTGAAACAAGTCAAAGGTGTCTTTTTTTTTCTTTCTAATTAAACAACAAAAAATGGTCTGGGATTCAACTCATTTAATACCAAAAGGGGAAACATTATGAGAACAGACGTATTCTTGGGATAGCATGTTTGAGGGCTGGACTGTAAATTTCAAATAGACCCAAAGTTCATTGGGTTTTTATGCGGTTTTTGCTTTCTGAGAAACATATGTAGATGCTATTTGTAAAGTTTGTGGTGTGGATGTGGTTTGATTGGATTTTAATTTTGTTCTTACTAGGATACTGGTGTCAAGATGAGTCATATCCATGAATGGTCAATTTCACCATGGGTTGATGATATAACCAATTTGAGGATGGGGGGACTTCTTTCTGAAGCATCAGGACCAGGAAAGATTTCAAACCATGAGTTGAAATCCAACTTGCCACCAATCTTTTTATCTACTGATATAAGCGTTGGAGGCTTGCTTTCTGAAGCATCTATGCAGGAAAAGCTCCGTAACAATGAGCAAGGAACAATTCGATGGGATGATAGTTTAACTGCTTTGAGCATTGGTGGACTTCTATCTGAAGCGTCGTTACAGGCCAAGATCAATAAATCTGATTCAAAATCCAGTGAACGAGATGTCGTGGGACCCTCGTCGACGTTTATTTCTGATTCGTTTGATGCTTTCATCTCTTCACAAGTGAAGAGCAATCCTCAAATGGTGAAACCATCATCACTTGACTCTCGCTCATCTATATTGGATGCTGAAGAGACATGCCATGCATTTTCCTTCCGCAAGTTCTCTTCATCCAGCAAAAACATCCGTGTCAGTGCAAGAGCTAGTCAAGATTTGAGTTCAAACTCATTCCGATTTCCTGATCTCCTAGAGGTTTGCTTTAATTTTCTTTCCCAACTATCTCCTTTTTCTATTTAAATATGTCAGAAGGTCAATGCATTTAATAAATCATATGTCAAGGTCATGCATTTAAAATAAACTGTCAGAAGGCCATGTATTTAAGTGCTGAGCCTGAGCTCGCTTGGTTTGTGAGAAAATAGGTAGGCTTGTATAGCGTTAGGTTTATCAGCTTGTATGGGTTGTCTTATGGCCTTGGCTCGGCTCATTTGAGGGTTATTTAGGAGAATAACCTTTAGACTGTTTCCTTTTAAATGCATGACCTTTTGACAGATTTAAGGTCTCTTCCCAACACAAAAATGTTTCACAATTTATAGAAAGTCGTTTATCTAAAAAAATATGTCAGAAGCTTGTAAAATTACAAACACTCTCTCCAACACGATTCTTTCACCAGCCTGCCTCACTTGCGCCCATCCAGTACCGTCTAGTTCTGTCCAGTTCCTTCTGCTTATCAAATGTACCCTGAGAGAATGACCAGTTGAGCTACACATAGGATGTTTGCCATGTGTCTTTTGAGCTCTGGTATAACAGAACTTTGGTCATCCTTGTCCACAGGTCAGCAAACAAACTGTGGATTCTGAAGATACATCTTGTTCAGAACCAAAAATGGAACTTTTCCCTATTCCTCAGCAATATGGTGAAGACAGCAGGGCCTTGGGCTAAGAGGTACTCCTAATGTTGATTTCAGTTTATCCCAAAATAAGTTTCCTCTTTCAAAAGTAAGTCTACACTTTTCGGTCCTACTCTTAATTATGACATTAGAAATTCATTACTTCCTCTATTACCAAGGGTAAAATAGTCATTCGTTAATTAAAAAGTGAAATAAATACAAATTCCTAAAACTGTGTATCTTTAGCATCGTGGACACTTATTTTGTTATGGAGGGAGTATTATTTTGTACATCGAATTTTACATATTGCTACATCAATAGTCACCTTACAAAAATTATTCCAATAGTGTTTTAAGATATGTATTTTGAACACATCCTGCACAATTTCTTTAGTGTACTTTTAAGATATATGCACTTTAGGCCTATAAAACATATACGTTCTATGTAGATGTTTATGTTACAGCTAACCATGTAACATTTTTTTTTCTATTTTTGGGAAAACAATGGAGTACAGAGCGAGTCTTTAGGTATTGGCTTGTATTCTTCGACTAGCAGAAAGATCCTTCGGATTCAGGGAGATTAGGCGTGTATAGAATTGATTCATGGGATTCTTTATACAACTTCTGTTGATGTTTTGTTATAGAAGTGAATTGGTTAGTTTGGTTCAAACAATTGGGATTCGATCATAGATTGGTTTATGATTTTGTCATAAACCAAATTGACCCAAAATTTATGTCTCCATATGCATATCTGTCAACAAAGAAGAAGCAATCACATAGATGTATAATATACAAGATTAGAGATGATATTTTATTCACAAATCTCTTTTCATTTTTATAGACTATGCAGTAGAGATGGATCAAAACCAGTTATGGTCGGTCTCTTAATAGTTTATAACAAACCTTGGTCAAAAAGTACACCAATACACCAAGTAACTGGTTGCAGCATAAATGATCTGAGTCTCCTAATTGGTTTTTAGCCCGAAATGTATAACTGAGATGGACATGTATAATTGGTGTTGAAGGCCCGATCTATCGACCAATGGATGAGCAAATGTTAAAAAAAAAGCAATCGTAACTGATTAATCTTAATTGGTCCTTAAATAATCAATCCGACCATTTAAAAAAGTTGTATCCAATCGGGTTTGATCGGATATAACTAATACTTGATCAGTCTTTCATTAACCAGTCAAAATGTGATTGGTACTGTAGGCATGGGAATAGGGTGGGGATGGGGCGGGGACCTCAATCCCGTCCCTGATTACTTATCTCTATCCCCGCCCTCATCCCTAGGGGTGCTCATGGGTTGGGTTGATCGGGTTGAAAACATTTGAACAACCCAACCCAATGCTTGCGGTTTGAAAAATCTTAACCCAAACCAAAGTGCAACCCAACCCAACCCGTACGGGTTGGTCGGGTCGGTCAGATTGATACTTTGGTACATTAGGATATTATTCTAACATTGAATATGTTATTTCTCTACTTATAATTTCTTTTTCATCGTCAACCATTTGATACAACTTATCCATATTTATTATGTATATCACATTCAGTTAATTTTCTCAATTTACATATATATGAATGAGTTATATAGAAATGTGAATATATTGAAAATATGTGTATATGAAAAGCATACATGATATGTGTAATTGTCTCATGTATATATTAATAAAAATTCAATAATCATATTAAATCCAAAAATAAAAGATATCGGGTTCATCGGGTTGGGTTGAGTTCAAATAATAGTAACCCAATATCAATCTAATACTTACGATTTGATAATTTTACAACTCGATTAGACATTGGGTTGCTTTGGGTTGAATTATTTCACATTGGGTTGGGTTGAGTTGATTGGGTTGGTCGGGTTTTTGAGCACCCCTACCCATCCCCATTGGGGAATATAATCATATCCCCATCCTTAATGGGGAAATGAGGATTTTTTTTTCCATTTATATAAGTTATTTTTAAATTAAATATGTGAGAGACTATACATGTTTAAATCTCAAACATTTTCAATAAACCTAAAATCAAAATGAATTTAATTTAATGCAAAAAAACCATGACATTATATAACAACTAATAACCTAAAACCAAAAAAAATTCAATTTAATCTAAAAAAACTTAAAAGTCATATGTACTGAAAGATATTGAGTAATATAAAACCATATCGAGTAATATACAAAAATTATCGAGTAATTGTATTTTGACTTGATATCCAAAATATTATGTGTTAACATCAAAAAAGTAACAATTTTAGATTATAAACCCAGTTAGAAAATAAGAAATTATGAATTACCGCTTTAGTTAAAATAATATATATATATATATATATATATGTGTGTGTGTGTGTGTGTGTATAACGGGTATGGGGAGTACCGTCTCCGTTCCCGTCCCCATCCCCGATTTGAGACAAACGGGGATCCTGTCTCCGACCGGGACAGATGGACCGGGTTCCCCAACAGGTCGGGCCTCATTCCCATGCCTACGGTACTGATCTTGATCTAGCCTTAAACTAGTTTTCAGGTCTTTGTGTCCACTTTGTAGAAGAATGTTTTTTTTTGAATTATAAATTATATAAATATTCCATAAGGAACTACTAATCTTCATTAAGGAGAGTATAAATAAATGATTTGGTAGATATAGACGAGGGGATTGTCTTGGATAAATAATTTGGAGCCAACATTATGTGTATATGTCGGAACCATTAAAAAATATTAAAAGAGATACATCTCGATTTTAATGCTTGTTTTATTTTGTCCCCTTATCGGTATTATAATACGATTATATGTGGTTTTGAGAAAAATAATAATATTTTTATTTATGAATAAAATATAAATTTGAAGATATCATTAAATTTTAAAAAAATTATCGATATTTGTATTAAATTAACTATTTAAAATGTTTTGTTGTGCAATTTTTTTAATTTAATTTTTTTATTATAATTAATTTAGGTTTAGTAACGAAGTAATTTATTTTTGATTTAATAATATAATTTTTAATAAAAATAATAATTAAGTATTTTGTTAGAACCACAATGGTTATCCTAATTATATTTTAGATTTTTTATATTTAAAATGAAATATTTGTTCTGTATTTGATTATGTTTATTTGCAGTTAATTAAACGAATTTAAGTATGGAGTTTTAATAAGTTGTACTTAAGCATTATTTTTTTGTAATCTTAAATTTTAAGTAATATGCATCAATAAACAATACTTCATACATAAAAATTGGTTTTTAAGAGTTTTTGTCAAATGCTTTATAATATAGTGTGTGTGTATATATATATATATATATATATATATATATATATATGAGTGATCATATGAAAACCGCCCTCATTTGTGTAAACCGTGCAAACCACCTTCATCTGTCGATTTCATTGTTTAATCTTATGAAATTTTTTCATGAAATTGTTTAATCTTGTGAAATTGTTTCATATAATACTTTTTTGATGAAGTTGTTTCATATATGGTTGTGAAATTGTTTCATATAATACTTAATGAAACTGTTTCATGTAGTTCTCTTTTGTTAATAACAAAAAACTATAATCCAATACAAAAATAGAATTCATGCGGTCCATAATCAAAATAGTCGGTGGGAGATGAACGATGAAAACCATGTCCGTTCCTAACATTTTATAGGCCCTGTGTGACATGTAAAATAGGGCCCTCCATAAGTTGACTATTCAGAATAATGCTCAATGTAAACCAGTATAAATCAATTGGGTTTCCTTCCCACCTAATGTTAATATTTTTCATCGTCGTTTTTAACTTTTAAGGGCAAAACAGACTTTTTTCAAAAGTATCAATCTTAGAATCAAAAGCCCATGTTCGTTATAGTTTAATATCTTATTCTTGTTTTAGAGATAGAAGAATACTTACGGTTAATGCACTCGATATTAGGTAACAAGAAGTCAATAATATATATAAAAAATAAGGTCTCGTTTGGTTTGCAAGATTAAATTGGATTTTGAATTGAATTCTATTACAATCCAACGATTGGTTTGAAGGATTTTCTGGATTTAAAATCCCAGGATTTCATTGAAATTCCACAGACATAGAATTTTGAAATCCCACGAGGTTGATTGGTATTTCATTGAATTTTGTAGGATTTGTATTTAACATTTGTTTTGTAATAATCAATTGATAAAAAAGTAATTTAATTATTTTCATAATTATTTATAAATATATTCCAGATTTTACAAACGAAACGTACCAAATGGTCCAGATCATTCCAAATTCAAATCCTTCCATAAAATACAAATTCCTCAAAACCATTCCATCAAACCAAATTGCCTCCGAGGGTATTTTTGAAATCTTAAATATTGATATAAGTTGGACCATTTCATATGGTTGACAACTCTTTTTTTCCTTAAGGTATGAGCTTTGTTAGCTAATAATAAGAAATCTACTATATTATAATCCAAAAATATAATTCATGTAGATGTAATGATCAAAAGATTCGGTAGGAGATAAGTGATGGAGAATATATCAATGTTTCATACGCAAATAGTTTTAGACTTTGGTATTTGATAAAAAAAACATAGAAAAATATTAAGTAGTACTATAAAATGTATAATCAATGAACTTTTTAGATATTTACTTTTCCAACAGAATTAATTAATAAATGTTTAGCCCTTAATGTAATATTAAATTCTTATTGGCTCCTATACTCTTATTAAATACTAAAAGAATTCTATTTCATTTACTATTTTTTTTAAACTACTACTACTACTATATATATATATATATATATATATATATATATGATTAACAGACTCTCTATAAAAACAACACTTAATACTATTATTATCTAAGGAAGTTTTTTGAACAGCTAGCAGCATTGTTACAAGAACAATTTTTATCATCAGGAGTGCAGATAATTTTTGGGTATTGCAAACTTTCTTCTTCATCTCAAGTATACTCCTCCCGAGTCTAGCAAGATTAAGATTGAAGATATCAAACCTACTGGATGGAGTGACACTGATCATAAAATTCTTTACCCTAAAGAATTATTTGGTTATACTCTAGATCCTAAGGATATTGATGAAATGGAAGTTCTGCTATATACTAAAAAATTGGCCCCTATTTTTTGTGGGTAGTGGGCGTGCGCCCATAAGTGGATTTGCAAAAATTTGCTTAACTTTCTATGAATTGACGGTGTATTTTCAAGATCATTCATTTCAAAGTATGATGTTAATGCTCCTCATTATCATCACAAGGGGGAGATAAAAATGAATGGCGGAGTAGTCATAAAATGAATGAATCTTTTTGAGTCATTTATGAAGATTGGGGAAGTTTTCAAAGATTTGAAGGAGTTGATAGATAATTTCTGATATTTTCTGAAGATTATTGCTCTGAAATGATCAAGGTGGAGTGAATGTGAAGATTATTCTGTTTTGAAAGAAGAAGGAGTTTGTTCAAAAGTTTTCTGTATCTAGTTAAAAGTGGAGATTGTTGAAAAGAATACTTTGTCAAGTTCAGGAGAGCTGTCAAATTTTCTGAAGCTGATTAACGATCGGAGGAGATTGTTAATAATTGGGGGAGATTGTTTCTAGTTTGTTAAAGTGTTGAAGATTGTCAGAGATAACTAACATAGGAAGAGATTGTAAAAGTTTTGAGGTTTGAAGATTGTCCAAGATTTAAAGATCAAATCTTGAAGAAATCAAGTTTGCTGAATGAATTTTGAAGATCGTTGCTATTCAAGCTGAAAGGTTAAAGATCTGAAGAATTTGGTGTTTTGGACTTGAATCCAAAGGGGGAGATTGTTGGTCAAAATGTTGTATCCAAGCCCCATGCTTAATATGTTTTAATTGCTTTGTAATAGTTGCCTTGTTCTTTGTAATGGTAGGTTTATTTCCTTTTATAGGTTGCTATAAATTGGAAGTAGTTGTTAGTTGGTTGTTAGAACTGTTGACAAAATTCAATCATACGTACACACAATTGAAAGTGAATTTGAGAGACATTGTAATCAATAACTTTGTACACATTTGACTTCAATAAACTTGTCGACTAATTCAAATCATCTTTCTATGTTTTTGTTTGATTAGACTTGAATCTAGGATCACGGGTATCGCTCTCAGATTCGTCATGGGATCAATGATGATACCATCATTATTTGCTCAGAATTTGTGTCATATATAGGATGTGACATTGATCTTGATCTTTTGGAGTTAGAAGAAAGAAAACCAATGTTTGTACTTTTGGTTTCTGGAAAGACATTCTCCCTAAGCACCTTAGTTTGCTCATAGTTGTATAAAGTTCCATATAAAGCAGTAAGAGAAATATGATGAAGATCCTTAGAAGTTCTTAAGCACATGGTTAATCTCCCATGAATCTGGTAAACAATCCATAAATTTTTACAATACCTCAACATTATTAAAAACATCGTCATGCACTTTGAGATAGTTTAGGAGAGAATTGAACTTGTTTTCCTGTACCCATGACTCGCTTGTTCAGTACTGCTAACTATTATTGAAGGGTTCCGTCTATGTCAGTACGAATTGTCTGACGAGATTAATCATTTTGCTTGGCTTTACTTCATACATTTCTTCATATAGAACAATGAGCATATCTTTTGTAGAAGTAAGATTCATGATGGAGTGATAAACACTGTCGGGTAGTGACGTTGCAATGATAGTCCTGACTTTGGTATCAACTGCAACTTGCTTCTTGTCATCATCCATCCATAAATTTGGAGTTTTGATATTTGCTCCTAGTCCAATAACTTTATCATTTTCATTTCCATCGCCAAGAAGGAAGGTGATAAGTACATATGGACCATCTTTTAGAACATTTAGGACTTGATTGTCTACCCCTTCAAAAAAGAGAATCATCCTATCTTTTCAAAGAGATAAATTATCTTTTTTAAAAATGGGGAGGTTTGGATAGAGTGCCATTGTCATTGTTTGTGGAAGTCATCACATATCTTCTTTAAGAAATAAAACAAACCGCTCTAATACCACTTGTTGGCCCTTGAATGATAATAACTGACACAATAAGTCTTTGTAGAAGGAGGGGGGAGGGTTGAATACAAACACAAAGTATTTTTACTTTTTATTTTTGTATGTTTATTAAAGACAAAGAATTACAGATTTGTTACAGGAGCTAGGAAAGTAAGACATGATCCTAAACAATAAGTTTGCTAATGAGAGACAATGTAAGAGAAGAAAGTGCTCTTTCAAATATGAAGTACTGAGATAGTCATTCAGATGGTTGACACTAGTTTTGCCTAATAAACTATCACTCAGAATTCCTTTTAAAATGAGTGAGTTGCAACAAATGATAAAGATGACATTTTTTTTAGCTATCGATGTATTAAATGTTGTTGTCCAACTTTAACATGTGTCTTTATATGATTTGTTGATCAGTGCATGCTAGTACTCCTCATTTCAGTCTTTAAAAGTGATGTATACATTTATTAACCCAACTCATCCTTCTGTATGCAGTTACAACAGTAAACGAAGTATGATACTAATAAAATAGTATTTTAGAACATATGTTGTATGATATGTCAAACATGTCCTTATACCAGGGCAATAGTTAATAATGTTGGTGGGCCAAACTTGCTGGATAAGTTTGCACTCCAAAATCGGCTTGCCAGAAGTACTGAAGTAGCATTTGTTAGACTAAGTTTGACTTTATCTTGTATTGATCTTCTTTTAACTAGATGACAGTTCAATCCGCTTTGATGACGATCTTTGCCTCATTTCACCTAGTCTTCTATTTCGTTGAAGGCTTTTTGTCCTTGGATCAACACCAACAATTATAAGACCTTTTCAAAGGAAAAATCCTATCTATTCTTATTTACGAAATATAAATACACGTCGAATTCCAGCAAAGACTAGTTATAAAGTATAAAACTCGGATGATACACAAGACTTGGATTATTTTATCTTCTTAGAATAGGAGCAGACAATGCATCCTTATATCGAGTACCAAATCCAAACATCAAATCCGGATGCTGAGAAGCAAGTCCATATACCGGATCCGAACATCAAATCCGGATGTTGAGAACTAGTCCAGATATCAAATATGAATATTAAATGTTATAACTCAGATATGACTATTCTGAGGGGTTGTTTGGTAGTTACAGAATGATTAAGTGGTTCGAATGATTAAGAGACTCTCATGATATAGTGCAAAATGAAATATAATTGTTTGATAATTGTTTAAAGCTAAATGATTAAGGGAGACACATGATACAAAATCATTCAGAGGATTTTAGATTAATTAAGAAACAAACTTTTTTTTATCTAACAAGTTTCACCTTAATGATTAAGGAACTGTCGCTTGATAGAACTATCAAGAGTAAACAAACAACTCCAAAAAATCAAATTTTATTCGGTTACATTGTGAACTTCTAAAAAAACATGAATCAAATTTGGTTTTTAAAATAAAAATAATTTGAGGATCTCAATTCTCAAAACGATATGGGGATGACGATGAATGCCAGCTTTCTGTGCCCGCCAAATCCAAAAAGAAATTTTGTTCCCTAGCATTCAAACCCACCCCTCGTAAACACAGCCCCCAAATCCAATCCCGACGATGATGGATTCCATTTCTCGTCGTTTTCTCCATCTGCCGGCCTATTCATCATCACCCATATGTCTTTTCCTTCGATTCTTCCATCCAATGCTAATTTCACCCGAGTTAATTGCCATTTCGCTTACACAATCATCGTCGTCGTTGTCGTCATTATCTCCTCAGAATCTGGTTTACATGACGCCTTATATCTATAGCCTTGCTGATTGTTCAGTAGGATAGCAATGGTGCCTTGAAGACAGTGTTCGACAAGTACTGACTCCCCTGTAGTGATCAAGAAAAAACCAACGTATGGGTTGCGTTCAGGGAAAGCCGTCACCAACCAATAATCGTCGACAGTCTCGTGGTGGTAGCCTTCATAAGTTGAAGATTGATAATGGATATGTTATAGGTGGAAATGAGGGAAAACCCATTGCTGCACGGAAACCGTTTGTAGAAACGTCTGTGAAGGAGAATAGTGGGAAGAAGAATAATCATGTGGGTGATGGTGTTAATAATGGAAACATTGGAAAGGAAGGAGGAGGTGAGAATGATAGGAAGATCAGCAGAGAAGGAATTGGGAATGTTTCTCAGAGAATTGGGGTTGGTAAGAAGATCGGGTCAGATGAATTGATTGATGGATGGCCTAAATGGCTTGTTGATAATATTCCCAAAGATGTTTTGGCTAATTTGGTTTCTAAAACAGCTGATTCTTATGATAAGCTTGCTAAGGTTAGTACGAGTTCTGTGTGTTATTCATTGTTATTCATCAGTGATTGGCTTAGATTACCCGATGGGAATTACATAGATAGGAGTTGGAATCTTGTATGAACCATGATCACATTATCATGTCATCAGCATTGACTCTATAAATATGTTTGTGTGATTCTTGGATTTGTATGTAGAGTAAATGTTACAAGCAATAGATAGAGGTGGTAAATCGACATGTTGAGGTGGTAAAATGGGAGGGTAGAACGAATTAGGTAATGGGTTAAAATGAAGTGCAAATTGCATGAAAATAAAACCTACTTTGTTTTCTATTTTAAGTAACATACTTTCGTAATTTTCATTTTGGTACCTCAGATGTGATATTTCAAAGTTATATGTACCTGGTTGACTGGATTAACCATTAACTGGTCACTATGTTGATGTGGAGTATGACTTAATATAATTTGTTGATTTAGCCAATGATGTGGATTTTCTTGTATAAAAATAAATTTAGAACATGTAGTGTGTATGTGTGTGTGTATATATATATATATATATATACATGTATATATATATATATATACATGTACGCATATAAAAAAATAACATTATATGATATATTATGAATGTATTAGACTGTTAAATTGTTTTTACTAATTATAATTGAAATGTATTGAATAGGTAAATATAACATTATGTATCTACTATATACAGATCAAATGGTTCATATCATTCCTTCTGTATCCTATCATCTGTGTTATGCTGCATTGTTTCTTTTTGTTTCATATGGTTACCTTTTTGTATCATTTGGATTATCTTATACTCATGATGTTGTGTGTAAAGTATCATTTTGTACCGTGTCATACTATCTTAAATATTGTACGATTGCATTCGGTTTTTCTGCCATTCACATTGTATCGTATTACATTATGAGCTAAATTTTATTTTAAAGTTTCGAATTTGAAAAAAAAATTATAATACATTATGGAGACAAATTGGTTGCATGATTAAAAAAGGAAAAAAGGAATAAAGAGAGAATTTTCATCAATTCCCTTTCTTTTTAACTGTCTTATGAGAAACCTACCACAAACATTTTCTCCACGAGAACAACCACTCTGCTTCTTTGGATAGAGGTTAGGTCTGTGTATCTCTCATCCCTTAGCCCCTACTTCTGAGAGGGACATACGTTCGTTTGGTTTGGTTTCTGTGAGAAACCTATAACTTTTTTGGTACTTCCTTTGTTCCGAGAAAGAAATACGACTTTGACTTCTTAGTTAGATGAACTAACTTTTAAGATTCAAGATTGATAAAAGTTCTTTAACTATTTGAGAAAAAAATCAACAACCAGATTAAAGTTCATTTCAATGCTACAAATAACTAAAAGACTTGTTGATAGTTTGAAGTTCTGTTCAGTATCATAAATCGGTCTAAATATTACTAGGTTCGATCTTAATTTTAAATGTGTATCCTTCTGTTGATTCATGTTCATATTACAAAGTATGTCCATCTTTCTTTTTCTTATGAATGTAGCATTGTAAAATGGATATTGAAGATCACGTGATTGAATTACATGTTTCTTTTTTGTACTTGTAGATAGGTCATGGAACATATAGCAATGTCTATAAAGCTCGAGATAGGGATACCGGAAAGATTGTCGCCTTAAAGAAAGTCCGTTTTGACACATCAGAGCCAGAGAGTGTGAAGTTTATGGCAAGAGAGATTATCATTCTACAGAAACTAGACCATCCAAATATCATCAAGCTTGAAGGTCTTGCCACATCTAGAATGCAATATAGTCTTTACCTGGTGTTTGATTACATGCAATCAGATTTGACCAGAGTTATTTCTCGGCCAGAAGGAAGGCTAACCGAACCACAGGTCCAACCGTTAAAAAACTTTTAGATCTTTAAACTAGACTTTCCTTGGCCATTTCTTTACTGCTCATTTTGATGAAAATATCAGCATTTAGGGAAATTTTTAAGCTAAAAATACTTGTTTGCTCATCATTGTTTCAAAAAATCGGTCACATTGATTTGGGTTCACTAGATTCTGTGTTGTTCTTGTTAAAGGGTATATTGGACATTTGATTAATATTCAAAAACTTTTCTCAAACAATGTCCTCTTTCTAACATTGTAATTTTTGTTTTATGGAGTGTAATTGGTAGCTTCTTAAGAAATCTAACAACCGGATGCTTTGAAATAGAGTAAGTTAGACGAAAGGGGTTTGGAAACCATGCAAATCAACAACTCCGAGTCTACAAAACAATTTTCTACTTGGACGAATGGTTTTACGTAGCTAGATATGAAGAGAAGTCTCGCTCATCAGGTTTTAGATTTGTATGTCAATTTTTTCTGAAGTTTTGGATCTTCTTTAAAAAATGCAGTCAGAAACAGAACTTTCCAAATCTTTGAGAAATTGATAATGACCCATAACAATACTTGTACCATCCCTCAGACCCTACTTTCGAGTGAGATATAATGGGTTTGTTTAGTCATAGCATTTTGTTTGTGGTAATACAGGTTAAGTGCTATATGCAGCAGCTGCTCTCTGGTCTTGAACACTGTCATGAGAGAGGGATTTTACATCGAGACATTAAAGGATCAAACTTGTTGATTGACCAAAATGGGATGCTAAAGATAGCAGATTTTGGGCTGGCAAACTACTACCAGCCTAAACAGAAACGACCCCTTACAAGCCGAGTTGTGACACTATGGTATAGAGCTCCAGAGCTGCTCTTAGGCACCACCGATTATGGAGTTGGTATCGATCTTTGGAGCACTGGATGCCTCTTGGCTGAAATGTTTGTGGGTAGGCCAATTATGCCCGGAAGAACAGAGGTTAATACTCCTATAACATTTTCTTTAGTTTTCATTTTCAAAAGACGCAACATTTACTTTCATGGCGATAGTATTTCAAAAACTAGAAAGGTTTGTTTTTTCTGCCAAAAGGGGTAATGAACCCACCATCTGGAGTGTCCTCACAGTACCAGTCCCTTGACTCCCAAAAACAGGTGGTGGTGCCTGGGGTTGAACAACCCCCCCCCATTCATTCTGCGAGGATGCCACCTCTTTACCCGGTAAGATAAAATCTGCAAGGAAGGAAGGCTTGTTGCTGTCCGTTCAAGGCCAATGTCCAAAAATTGTACTCCCCCGTCCCAAAATAAATATCCACAATGAAAATGGCACACAGTTTTAGAAATGTGTAGTTATTACACTTTTAACTAAATGACGATTTTACTCTTAATAATAGAGGGACTAATTGATTTCTCTATCTCATAATCAAGGGTAGAATTGGAAAGTATGCACTTTATTTTTAAAGGTGGACACTTGTTTTGGGACAAACTATATAGAAATTTGGATACTTATTTTCTGACAGAGAGACTACATTCTTTGAGAAATTATTTCCCTTGCTTTTAGTCGAACGTAGTTGTACAAGAAGAGATTCTAGCTTAACCTGAAAGTTGTATGTGTTTCTTTTCGCAGGTTGAGCAGCTTCACCGGATTTTTAAGCTTTGTGGATCTCCTCCCGAGGACTATTGGAAAAAGATTAAGCCACCAACAACCTTCCGACCGCCACAAAACTATGTTCCAAGTTTCCGTGAAGCATTTACAAATTTTCCATCTTCTTCGTTTGGTCTCTTGACCACACTTCTGGCTCTGGATCCAGCATCTCGTGGAACTTCCGCTTCTGCACTCCAAAACGACGTGAGTTCAAAATACCTGTTCTTTAGTCAATGTTCTGTTTTCATGCACTTGCTTCTGACTGCATATTTTGTTTGTTGTTAGTTTCTAACTGTTTTCCAATTTTTATCAATGCCTTTTCGCATTTTCAAGTACTTACATTCTTTCTCCACGATTTTAAAAAATATGCTGGACCCTTTCTCTTTGTGCACTTTACACAAGCCGGAGGTTTTCACAGAAACAACCACTCTACTCTCAAAGTAGGGGTCACGTCTGCTTACATTTCACCCCTTGGACCTCACCTCTGGTGGAACTTAATGGGTTTGTTTGGTTTTCAAGTGATGCCATTTAGATTTGGTTTTGTGGGTCCCATTTAATTCGATGCAAGAAGAAATGAGATGTGATTGTGGTCAATGAAATCCATGAAATGAAGAACAGATGAAGAGGGGAAATGGTATGAATGAATGAAACAATATCAAATCGTTTCTAACTGCTATTCTTGTGACAGTTCTTCTCTTCAAGTCCATTAGCATGCGAGCTCTCGGGTTTGCCTCTTACGAACAAAGAGGAGGAGGAACCGATTCAATTCTACGATAGAAACACGTATGCCATCTTTTAGGTTCACTTTTCTTACATATATATATCTTCACATTTCATCATAAACAACAAGCCAATCAAAATTGTCAGATGCTCACTTTTTATGTGAGAGAGTTCTGCGATCGTTTTTAACGTTCACTACTGACATGATACAACCGTTGTATTCAGTATTTTTTAGAAACATTTTTCTTGACTTACGTGTAATGTATGTTTATGAGCACGATTGATGATTCATTTGTGAATTTCCTTTCTCACAGGAACAGAACCATGAAAACCAAGCAAAAAACTAGGAAATCCCGGAAAGGTCACAACAGAAACATCTCCGTTTCTGAACTCTCGACCGAGAATTCTGGATCGTCAAGAGAGGTGATTCCACCCACTCGAAATCAGTATTGTAGGCCAAGATCAATGATTTAGGACTCCAGTATTCGTGTTATTTACGACCGATGTAGTTTGTTTCTAATGTGGAGGTTTTTCTAACGACCTTTTGTTTTGAATATGCAGCAAGAGAAGCATGTCGACAAGAACTCGGTAAGCCAAGAGACGGGTCGCAGCACGAGTAGCAATACATCGAGTAAAAGGACAAACACGACAATTGAGCACTCGCCACCATTTACTCTTGCCTTCCATTCGAATCCTCCTGACAACAACAGGTCAGCAAGAACCGAAGCTCATCCTAATGCTTTAAAGAACATAAAGAATTTCCCGCTCTTACTCGCATCCATAACACAAACTGTCAATCACATGGAAGAAAACCGGAACGGTCTCAACCGCCGGTCCATGTCTAACGTCGATTTCCGACATCTAGACATTGAAAAGATATCCAAACTCTTTGGTTTAGATGAACATTAGGGTTTTTCAATTGTCTTCTCTTGGATTTGTTTTTCACAAGTAAACTACAAATTACTGATAAAACGGCGATTTGATTTGAATGATTTCGTTACCGTTCTTGCTTTTATACTTGGAACTTCCCTCTTCAACGATTTGAATTTATGCAAAAACGAGCTTAAAGTGTACATAAACCAGACTTTCAAACGAATGGGTCATTGGTGCAACGGTATCCATGTTGACTCAACCTCCCGTAAGGTCAATGGTTTAAACGTCACAAAAAACCAAGAACCATACCTAATTATTTGTTTTATAGAAATATTATATACTTGAGAAACCAGACCTTCAATTATAAAGTCAAAAACAAGATGATACAAAGCAACAAAAAAAAAACCGAAAAACCGAAAAACCTAAACACACACACACACACGCATATATACATACGTAAGATCAGGATCAGGATCAAGAACGGGATGAATCGTAGGTGTCGGTAAACTTGTTCTTGATCCATTTGAAGCTGTTCCTTAAGGAAGATTTGAGTTTGCCTTCCATGGTGTACATGTTATATGAAGCTACCCTCTTTCTTCGCTTCACCTTGGGATTTTCTCGATCTCCAGGGCCGTTGAAGCTGAACGACTTGTCTCGATCCTCGAACGCAAACCGGGCTTCTACATACGGAGTCGAGTAATTCGGAAACGATTTACTTTTCTCCATTTTTATGTTATCAAACAAAAGGTTTCAAAAGTTGGAGGTTTTGAGGTGTCTTAAGTTGGAGCTACTTGTGTGTTTTTGGCTCATTATATAGCAATAGCACCACTATAGAAAATAAATGGCATAATTATGGATAATATTTTAATTATAAAAAATTAAATAATAATTATAATGATTAATTTTATTATTATTATTATTATTATAGTAATTATAATAAATAAGTTTGGCAGGTAATCTCAACTCTCAAGCAACTACTTTTCTTTAAATATATGGAAATTTGATGTGATATATAATTTAATTATAAGTAATTGATTGATCATCAAATGCTCGAAATATGTGTTTTTTTGTTTGTCATGTTTTAATCATATATATATATATATATATATATATATATATATATATATATATATATAGGGTATATTTCTTTTACAACTTTGTGCATTTGTACAACATTTGCAACCCAATTAATTGAGATATTTATAGAAATGATTGGAGTTCATTTATTATGATTTGAATATTTATGGAATATGAATAGAGTTTATTAATTATGATTAATAC